TCTTTCCATACTTTTTCCTCCCACACTTACTAGATTCATGTCCCTACCCTTTTTCTTTTGTATTCCTCTTACCACCATATATTTCGTCTTGTCCGTATTTAATTTTATCTTATTAACGTTCAACCAGTTTTCTATCCTTTGGAATGCCAGGTTCATTTTGCCTTCTACCTCTTCTGTACTGTACCCTTGCACGTATACCATCGTATCGTCAGCAAACAGTTTTATGCTACAATCTTCCGTTGCTAAATTTATTATATCATTCATGTATATGATAAACAGCAACGGACCTAATACTGAACCTTGTGGTACCCCATACTTTGTTTCCACTTTTTTAGACCATAAATTATTAAATTGAACTTTTTGGTGTCTTTTGTCTATATCTCTAACCATTTAACACTAGAAAGACTGAAACTTAGTATATACCTATACTATATTGCCCAAAGCAGTCAAAATGACTGCATTGTGAAAGAATAACTAATGTGTAAAGAAATTTATTTAAAATTAATCTTTAATATTTTTTATATTATTTCCAATAACTCACTTCTATTCGACATTTCTTTCATGAATTTAGGGCGCAAATGAAGTAAAATAAAGAACTTGTTAGAACAAGTATCACTGCATAAAGATTCAAATAACAAGTACTACTTTAGCTTATTGAGCAACTGCAACTTATCAAGTATACGCCCAAATCGACAATTTGTCATGTACTTGTATGTTATCATGTGACAATAATCGAAAAAAAAAATTAAAACTGTTATTTCAATATAGAGCCGAACTGGTCATATAACAAATTTACCCAATTCAATAATAAGAGTCATTTGATTATTTAAAATTTCCCAAGCAGTCCAAACGACTGCTTTTGGGCAATATAGGTATAACACATATATATTGTGACGTTAAAATTCACGTCGCAAGGTCCCGAGTGTAGAACTAGCGTGTTTTAAATACGGGACGCATTACCGTCCCTCGGGAGAGTCGCGAAAGGTACCGGCCAAGAACTCCAGGGTCCAAGATTGTATTAGAATCACTTAAGATTAATTATTTTTGTTACGTACAACTATTTCATGCATTTCGTATCCGGCCACCACCACCACCAACGTTTCGCCGAGGGAGAAAAGAGCAGCCACGCCCAGACAGACCATCAGTCGCAGCCTCGCTCGAAGGAAGTCGCCGCCAGTCCCGCGAGGGAGCGTGGAGACGCACTATGTCATCAGGCGCCTCCACCCCGCAGCTGACGGCTCCCGAATCAAGCGGGAAGCCGAGACAGCATAAGACATCGCACTGGATCATACCGTACCGATCATAGTACTTTTTCGTATATCGGCAACATGTTGATTGGCCTGAAGTCACTACCGTTTTTTGGTTTCTGTACTTTCGGTATCAGTATTATGGTAGACGATTTCCAGTGACGTGGACATTGTCCTTCCTTAAATGAGGTGTTAATAATGTCCATAAAATCATCTTGAATAATTTCCCTAACTGTTTTTAATATACTACTGGATATTCCTTCTTCCGTTCCTTTTTTTATTGGTAATTAACTTATTATCTTCTGTAGTTCCACTATATCGATGGGTTTGAATTCATCGAGCCATTGTTCATTTTCATACGCTATATTACTGTTTGTGTCTACTCCCGTTTCTATAGATTTAACTATTTTGTCTATGCTATTTACAGAGAACATGTTAGATTTATCAGCTACATTTATATTTGACTCGAGTTTTGTTGCATCAAGCTCTAAGTCCAAGTCCACTACTTCGTTTTTGTCTACATTCACTCCCTTCAGGATGTCTTTAAGAGATTTCCACATTTTTGTAGAATTCCCTCTATTTTCATCTATCACCTTCTCGTAATAATCCTTTTTCGTTTTTCTTATTAGTTTTACTAAATTATTTCTCTCTGCTCTATATTCTGACCATTTCTCCTCCGTTTTTTCATATCGTGTTTTGATATATGTCTTATCTCTTGCCGCTGCTACTTTTCTTAGTTCTTCAGAATACATTTCTTACTTGCCCATTTACTAGGTGTTTTAAATTTCTTCCGAGGTGCAACCTAATCTAAGGCTTTAATCATGTTACTGATTAACCTATTTGCTTTAGCATGTACGTCTCCACTTCGCACTTCATTCATTTTTATAATATCACCTAATGCTATCTTGTATTGTAGCTCAGAGTAATTACTACAGTCCCTCGCTATGAACTCTTTTCCTCCCGTTTCTACGTGCGTTACCTTGAGAGTGACTTGTATCCACGAGTGGTCCGTTATTTTTGGTATATGTTGGACCTGTACCTCTATGTCCATATTGGCAAAGACATGTGACTCTTGTTGTCTCTTGTACGTATTGTTTCATCCCTAATTCTTTTATCATTACTTGCAATTTTCTTACATAATATAATCCACTTTTCATATCTATATTAAAATCCCCAACTATTATACATTCCCCTTTAACAATAATTTCTTCAACTACTTCTTCTATAAATTTAATAAATTCTGCATCTGATGTACTCGGCGAATGATAGATAACAGCTATCACACCTTTATAAGCTGGATCCCTTACTTCTATGGCTACGTACCAACAGTTCCCCACTATTTTCTTAGTTTGTAATAACTGAACCTTTACATCATTTCTTGTATATATTAATACCCCACCTGTTCTCCTATTTTTAGAGTCACATTTTACTATACTATATCCCGCCACTTTTATTTAAGCCTCCGTAATGTCTTCTGTTAGCCTCGTTTCCGTCAAGGCCAAGAACATAGACCTCATCTTCTTAAGAACTTGTTCTTCAATTTCGTCCTTATGTATCAGTAAGCATTGCACATTTGTGCACATTAGTACTTCTCTTCTACACCTTAATTGATATTCATCAACGTGGTGTTCTGTTCTCTTCCTCTCTTTTTCCATCATCCTCTTAAACGTGGGACATTCTCTGTCAAGTTTATCATGTTCATCGCTTATCGACACATGATACTTTTGTATCTTAAATATACAGTTTACGCATCTCTTCTTTGTTTCTTTGCATTCACTGCCTTTGTGCTTACCCGCACAGTGCTGATACTCCTCTTCTCGTTTGCAATACTTCGCAATGTGATTGTATCCCCAACATTTAAAACATCTTTTAACACCTACGAAATCTTGAACTGGGCAATTTTTCCATCCCAAATTGAGTTTCTCTTCTCGATTATTTTGTTGTGCGTTTCGGTATCTACTTCAAGTATCACCGTACCTTCCGTGTTTCTTCTATCATTTTGCTTTCCCACTCTTCCAATTTTTCCTATCTTCTTGATTATTTTCATATGGGACGCATTCATGCCATTTGGAGTTTTTATTGTTTCTATTATTTGGCTATCACTCATTTCCATCTCTTCTGTATCTATCCCAATTATTCTTATCTTATGCTTCTTCTGCCTAGGCGCGCTCACATTGAATTTGCCCCCTAATCTCTGTTCCATCGTATTCTTTAGGTTTGAATTTCACTTTTTGTGCTGCTTCCCAGTATGACCGCACCATGTCTACCCTTCTTTGCTTTTGTGACTCCAATATGCATGCTCTTGATATCGATTCTTTCTTTTACTTGTTTCTTTGTGGTCTCATTTTCTTGTTCCTAGACTGACTCTTTGGTTGACTTTGTACAACTTGAATGTTTTGTAGCACAAAGTTCACTAGATCTTTTTTCATTTTATTTACTTCCTCACTAACAGTTTTTCTAACTAGTGTCTCTAATTCCATATCTTTCCAATAAATAACTTTCTGTTTTATTTCCTCAATTTTTCCTTTAACAATCTCTGTAATGAGTTTTTTAATATCTCTTTTTGCCACCATATTGTGTCTCATGTCACTTGCAATTTCCACATTTTTATCAAGCTTCTCATCCAGAGAAGGTATCTTCTCCTCTGTAGATTGTTTCCTCTCTTTGCTACTACTCGCTCCTACTTTCTTCTTTTCCATTAATAATATGGTTTCTGTGGCCCCTACACAGGGTATTAATTCGTCATCGATGTTGTACTTCTTGTGCAGTTTATGGCAACTCGGGTGAAAGATTTTGTCGCATGGAATGCATTTAGTTATCTCTTTTAATATTTCCTTCTTGCATCCTCTGCAAATATTTTCATGCAACCCGCTTGGGCTGCCAGTTTATACCAACCGCGTACTCATATTGAATTCAGGACAGTATTTATATTATTCGCCACATTATCACGGCAATCTCGATGACGTGGCCAGAATATGGCACCTGTCTTCACTGCTATCACTCAACTTTTTTTAACGATTTTCTTGTATTTCGCACAAAGTTTATCACTTTCCTCCCTGATAGGTTATTCACTTGATTCTCACATACTTTATACACAAATTGTACACCCATTTAGTTTCAGGTACACTCAAAAACCCACTTCATTTGGGTTAAAATTGAAGAGCTGGATGTAACACGTTTCTTTCGGTAAAGAGAGCGCGCGCGCGCGCGCGTGTGTGTGTGAGAGAGAGAGAGAGGGGGGAGGGGGGAGGGAGGGAGGGAGAAAAAGAGCGAGAGAGAGCGAGAGTGAGAGAGAGAGAGGGAGACAGACGAAAAATGCTCAAGCAACAGGATCACAAATTCCACCACTAAGGCGCCACGTCATACAAGCAGGAAAAATTATATTGTATACATACAGGTCTTGCAGTTCGCCCAAATTTCAGTGGTGGATGGTGTCGTCTTTGAAAAGCACGGCTTATTTCATCCCGTAGTCACAGCCAGCTATGGGACAGACATAGAAACAGAATTGCTCGACCACAACGGCTTTTGTGGCCACGAGGCAAAGCGAGTAGTGCTTTTTTTTAGAAGACTACTCCTACTGCTGGAGTTGTAAGACCTGTATGTAGGATCTTGGTCCTGCGACACGCACGCATTTCTAAAATAAAATATTAACCTGTTTGTTAAGAATGACTAATTAAAGCAGTATATAGACATTTAATAATACATGCAATTTTTCTGTAACTAAGATAGAACGATCTTATGCTTTTTTTTCAGGAGACTCTGTTGGTAAGGTCTTGGCGTTAATAAGTTTAACACCCTTGGCTATAATAACTGGTTTTGTTACGCTGGTTCTTTTTAGAAGAGATTTGCATACAGTGAGTAATATACACTCAATACTAGAAATCTTAAAAAATTCGTTGTATCTACATTATATGTTAAGAAATTAAATGATGTGTTACAGATTACATTTTTTGGTGGTATTGTAATTAATGAAGCAGTAAACTTGCTGTTAAAACATACTATCTGTGAGGCAAGACCAATGAAAAGAGATTCTCTCTATACTGAATATGGCATGCCATCTACCCATGCTCAAACTATGTGGTTTTTTGCTGCATATGTAACGCTTTTCATATGCATAAGGTAATATTCATGACTGCAGCACTTGATTTTTACAATCTCAAAATTCTCTTTTTTTTTATCAATTCAGATACTACAAAATTGAGGTGTTGATGGGGACTTTAAATAATTCAATAACTTTAGCAAATAAGCAGTGATCCTATTTCGGCGTAAATCAATTTATACTAAATCGATTTAAATGTTATAGTTTGTGAAAATGGCTTAAAGAATAATAATTCCCATGTAAAAAATTCACTGATTTGCATAAATATTATAGTGCATAAATTGGTTACAACGGATGTGATTATCTGTGAAGCATTATACTTTTTTTTAAACCAAACGTTTCGTTTAATTTTTCCGCAAAATATTTTGTAGTCTCAATTTTACTAATACTAAATTTTATTTAAAAAACTATTAGTTATTGTGTTGTTATGCTTGCAGGTTACACTACAGCAATAATTCAACAGTATCAGAAAGGTTTTGGCGGATATCGATAATAGCGGGATGCGTGATTCTGGCTTCCTTGGTAACCTATAGTAGAGTATACTTAATGTATCACACAATAACTCAAGTTGTTTGTGGTACAATAGTAGGTATAGTTTTGGGGATCACATGGTTCATTTTCACTCATTTGGTTCTAACGCCATTTTTTCCTATGATAGTTTCATGGTAAGTGTATATAATTATTAAATTCTATAATTATTATATTGCCCATTTTGCTGTTCAAGAATATTAGTGTATCTGTAATGAAAGCTGTTAAAATTTATTCATATTATTTACAGAAGACTCTCTTTATAAGGCGTAATAAAATTCCCAAAATCTCAACCCTTTGAGAACAGGGGGGCTGCTCAAACAATGAATCATGGGAAAGTTTATGTTTTACAGGTTTTTGGGGTCTCTGAATCCGAATATGACTTTCAAATTCTAAAATTCTGTGATATAAAATGGAGGATTAAACATAGCCGAACTTGAAATTATAAAAATGCAAATATCATTCAATATTTATGAAACTCGTATTATAGGGATTTTCGGTGCTAATTCTGATTCTGAAGTAAAAATTTCAAGATGACGGACTCAATATAATCAACCTTGAAATAACATGAGTTTCTTAAAAACAGAATGATATTGGCATTTTTAACATTTCAAAGTTGGTCATATTAAATTCACAAGCTGGAAAATAAAATCTCTTATGCATGTACGAAGTTTTATGAAAATTGGACCAATAGTTTCTGCAATATGAGCGGAGAGCATTCATAAAGACTTCAATCCTCAAAAGATTAATGCCTCTACTCGTACGTAAATCTTCCAGTATCGCGCATAAAAAAAATCTGAATGATTTTCTCCTCTTCGGTTTTGTTGGGGGAAAGCAAAGCTATAAACCGAAATAGTCTCTTAAAGAGTGCCCACATAGAGAGAGTCGGCTGTATTGTGATATTGCAATCAATATTTGAATACTGATCTTTATGGTATTTTTTCTAGAAACTTCGAATGTTTGATTTTAATTAAACGAATAATACATTAATGGGCAATTGTTTTATAATATTCTATATGTGTAATACGCCATCATAGTTCAAAATATATCAAACGAAACTTGTTACTTTATTTTTTAGGCGGATGTCAGAGTATTTACTCTTACGTGATACAACTCTAATACCAAATGTGCTATGGTTTGAATATACGAATACACGTACAGAGGCAAGAGCTCGATCTCGAAAGCTGGTATCAATGAAGTCTCAGTGACGACTGATGGTTGGCCAATGGGCTGACAATAAATAAATTAAAATCGCTGGGTCTAAGGTGTTAGAAAGTAAAAAAAGTTATAATCAGATATACAATGTACAGTTAAATTTTAGTGAATTTATTAACGGTTTTTATATTTCTTCTTCAATTTTTCTTTTCTTTTATTGTCTGATTCGAATCAGGTAACAAACTTGTTTGGAAATAATGTATATTGTTTTATCCAGAATCTAACTTGTTTAAATCAATATCAGTTTTTCAAAATCCTATCATACACTGTCTAGTAAAAAAATAGATATATATGTATATTGTATTAACGGCTTGAGCGGCTTTGACGCCATAATACGAACATCGTTCATTTTGCCAATGACTTAAACAATTTTTGCCTAATTTGGTACCCTGAGGTTTGTTGGGTCGCTGAATGCGAATTTAGAGTAACCAATTTAATATTCAAAATGATTCTAATATAGCGGATCAAAATGCAAAAAGTGACTTCATTTGGATGAAATTCGGTACCAGGGAGTTGTCAAGATCGCTGATTGCGAATCTGAACTCGAAATCCAGAAATTAGAAAACGCAGAATGAATATGCCGGACGAAAATACAAGAAGAGTCTTAATTAGAATGTAACTCGGTACTTCGGGGTTTCCTAAAAATGAAGAAATGGAAATGGCGGATTAAATATGGCGGCTCGAAAATTCTAAAAGTCATATAACTTACCAGATTTTTTTTTTTGAACTTCCTATTTCACAGTTTTTCAAATACGAAGTGACGGAAAAAATTTAAAAAAGTTCAAACGGTCCAATATGGTGCGCAAAAAACGAATGCGTATCGCTGGACCGGGGATAGGAATTAGGCAAGACCGTTAAAATAAAAGTTAGGTCATATGTTCCGGAGATTCAGGGGTCGCCTGATTACTTATCCCAGCATGAATCATTAAATATTTTTGAATCGCTGCTTATCACCCTTATTGTACATTTGAATAAAAACAACCTTAATGAACTATGTTTCATCCAAATCGAAAGCCGATGATTTGTTCCTGCCGCTTGAGGCAGAAACGATGAAATTTCTTTGCCGCTTAAGGCGTTAAGGATCGCTTTACTTTACAAACTTTTTAACAAGTTATTAATGGCTCGCATAATACATAATGAAATAAAGACTCGCCTAGTCGACAACATCTCTTTATTTGTATTATATATAAGTTGCTCAAGAAAGTAAAAATATTATAAAGTTTTCATTTTCTTGCATAAACTATGAATACACCCGATAAGCATTCGATAAATTCTATTCAATTAAAATATTTTACTGAATAAGAATTAGCTAATAGCTTTAAGCGAGAAACTCGACAGAATGTCAATAAATAAATAAGCTTGTATTCAGTCCTCACTTTTACAGATACATGTGCTTTTTAATTTATGAATGCTATTATCGTTTACTATCTACATAACCCCGCATTCTAAAGAGAATGAAATTAGAAAGTCACATGTAGCACCAAACGTGGGCTCTTAATACAGGTAGTTAGTATTTTTACAGTCCTATATGATAAGGCTGATTCTAAGACGTAAGATATATTAGTCGAACGCAATATATTATCCTTGTTATTGAACGGGAATAGGTATTAATGGAGGGCCTAGAAACTTAATTAGAATGACAGACTGTGAAGACACAAAAGTTTTAATTACCACACCTTTTTGTAAGCATAACAATTTTGCCATTACAATATTATAATGATTAAAAATGATGCAGTAATTTATTTGGAATGGAGCGATTTATTCTTCTATTTTTTAATTATTCATTATCATACTGCAATGTAAAGAATTGCTATGTCGGTAGGAAAGTGCATCTAGTTCGTTTGAATGATATATTCACGTGAAAATTGACTAATTTATGGTTTTCACGCTCTCTGACTAATGAGTATCTAGGATCTTTTAGCGACCAGCTGTGGTAACTTAAATAAATATTAAGTACACGTGTATAAAACTTCGACATTAGGGCACTTAAGAAACTTTTTATATGTGGTGGATGTTTGATAATACTTCAACAATTGAAATAAGAAAGAAAGCTAAAGAATAAGTGTCAAGACGATCGTCATTGTTAACCACAACTTTCTTCAAACGGAGGAAAACTTTTATAAAAGTATTGCATTGTTGATAGTGAAGGCAAAGTTTCTTATTATAACTACAAAGTGTTTTGTTTCTGATTTTGATTACTGTTAAACATGTTAAAACGTTTAAATACCTTGGAGGTATGTACAAGTGAAGCGTATGATTTGTATATATTGTCTCCTAACTTACAAAAATAAAACGATTTCATGCGTTTGTTGGGTTATCGTAACTATTATAAAAAAGATGGACAGCACTGAGGGCCAATGGAACAACTTAGTTATTGATTATATACAAACTACCCAAGACGTATGGATCGGGAGACCATTTTGAACCAAGACACCTGTTGTAAGCCCAACACTGGATTCACGGATTTGACTGCCGGAAAGGGTTTTCGGGAGTCAGGTACTTTGGGATTCGTTGCCCGAGTAAAAAGGTGGAACTTAACTCTAGATAACAAGTAAAAGATTTATTTGAAACAAAATAAGTTACGTTAGAATACACTATTAGAAATAAACCGTAAACGTGGTGAATACGAAATCACGAGGCTGGAGGTTAGTACTTCGACTAAGTTACCGTAGTAACACTTCACTCGTAGTCCTCTACTTTGTCTGACGTGCCGACAGGCCTTCCGCTTTTTATATCTTTGTTGAAATAAATGTAGTCGGGATCACCGAAATAATTATCTTGCGGTTTCACAGATATATTTATTTATAATATTAGAGTATATTTATTGTAATATCCTTCTTGATTACATCTCAGTTATCGGATTCTTATCCACGTTGCGTCGGCTCTCTTCAGGTGCCATAGACGCTCTTTTTCTCTATAGTACTTATCTATAGTCGCGTATGACTACCGTACGCATTGTTCTCTCTCACCTGGGGATGCGTGCGCATACTCCCGTACAAGCTATATTCAGATCCTATACTCGAACCATAACTTAGAATTGTAGCATACAAAATTACTCATATCTCAACAACCTTAATTATGGAATTTTTAGAGATACAATAACCAAGGATTGTTTCTATATTTCGCCATGGTGTCGGTGATGTGTATCCTTTGTTTCATAATATTGGCGAGTGGAATGTGCTGCGTCGCAGCGTGGCCATTCCGTCGCTTCTGACGTAGGCGCGTTTCCAAATCTATATTATGGTTTACAACACACCACACAACCCATATACATATATGGTACACAGTTCCAGGGGGATGCTATTAAATTTCGAAATGTAGAGATAGACCTCTTTTTTATATTTTATAAATTTTATTTTCACGGTTTTGATCCATAAGAGGCCTTATCCTAGCGCGGCCTGGATCAAGGGCTGCCGAGGCTCAGGATAAATTCGATAAATATGTTGGGCGCCAATTGGTTTTATAGACCAATAACTAATTATTTAGCGATGTTCGAAATGCACCGGCTAGCAAAATTACCACCGGAAGGGTTCCGTTCGGTGACCCCAGGAAATTGCAGAAATAAGAGGTGTTATGTATCACAGATTTACTTACAGTTTATTTTATGACTCGGTACAAAGACAGCTCGCTCGCTGGTGGGACTGCGCAGATCAACGGTATTCCTCGGTAGACAAAAGTTCGACACTCGGTCCTTGGTTCACAATAATTTACACGGATAAAGCGCACTATCTGCTTCACGACTATTAATTCTTATAAATTTTTACTTTTATAATATTAACATAGACCACAGTAAATATAAAAGACCAATCTCTTGTATATGGCTTCACGGTTAGTCCACGATACATACACGTACAACGTGCAGGAACGGTCAAGCGCTAATGTGTTCTCTCGCACGTTCCAGAGAAGAGTCTCTATTGTTCGCTGCGATCTACGGCGGCCGGTCTTTCGGTAGTCGATTCTTCGCGCCTGCGCTCTAGGGTTTTTAGTTATTGTTCTAGGATCTTTCGGGACGTCTCGCGTGACGTCGAGCCTACCTTACCGAAATCCTGTCACAATGTAAATGAAATAACTTAAAACAATTTAAATATAGTTGCATCGTTTATTAGTCCCAGGAAAACTAGTATCTAAACAGTTATAATAAAAACAGTACTTATCTGATGACTGGAAGTCGTGGTCTGGCGTCCGAGTCGTCCCAGAAGATCATCCCGAGGGAAAAAGCCAATCGCAGTGTTAGTAAACAGATAGTTTTTCAAATGTTACAAGAAATTTTTATTTATATTATTTTAATTAATTTAAATTATAATTCTATTGTAATATGAAATGTGAACCTGAAAATGACACTTAAAATCATTATTTTCTATCAATTTCATGGGATATAAATGAAGTATTTGTTATTGCAAAACGAGACGTATGTATCGTGTAACGTTCGACTGCATTTATGAATTATTCAATAATCAGCTAGCTCATTTAGTAGGTACTTAGATGCTGCTGACAATGCAATTATTAAAAATGCATTAGGTATCCCGATAACAGTACAGTAGAATCCTGAGCGCGGTCTTCTTTCGCACGGCACTGTTCCCGTCGGAGTTATTCGGCAACCGATCCCCACTGTTATCCATTTGCATGGTAACATTGCAGTTCAGCAACGCTAAAGCCAGAACACGTCCCTATGTATTTTGTTGCTAGTTACATACTGTTATTATGCAACGTGTTTTTATATCTAAATCTCCAAGACAGAATATTTATTTCATATACAGGGTGAGGCGTTTATAGTGACCCAGGCAATTTTCTCCCAAACAAAGCGAGATACAAAAAAATGATCGATACATTAGTTTCATGGCTTCGAGGGGGACACAAGATGACGTCTTTCAATTTTTTCCTAAATCAACGTATCAAGGTCATTTGAGGGTTAACTTTGGTTTTTCAAATGGGATGGTGTATTTTTTGTTATGGAAATCAGAAGAACATTCAATTCCAGGTCTCAAAGTACTGGTATGCTATGGTGTCAAAACTAAAGGATCATGGGATATTAATTGAAATAGAAAAAAAAAATCGGTTTACTTTTTAATGGCGCATACGTTGCGGGGGGTTCTTTCGATGAAATTTCACAACAAATGTTCGAAATGTTGGCCATTTACTTCGATGCATTTTTGATAACGTCGAATGTAAGAACGTTGCACTGCCAATAGAGTGTCATCCTCGATATTGGCAGAGGCATCAATGAGGCGCTGGCGCATGTTGTCACATGTCGTCGGTACTTTCTTGTAAACTTTTTCTTTTATGTATCCCCAGAAAAAAAATCTGGAGACGTCAGGTCCGGAGAACGGGTAGGCCAATGAACAGGTCCTCGACGTCCTATCCAGCGATCGGCATAATCTCGATCCAATATTTCACGAGCTTGAAGCGAAAAGTGAGCTGGACATCCATCATGTTGATACCACATATTGGATCGTTCCAGAAGTGGTATGTCTTCGGGCAATGTTGGAAGCACTTGATCCAAAAAGTCCTTGTACTTCTGTCCGGTGAGTGTATCTTCAAGGAAGTACGGTCTAACTATACAGTTTCGGTAAACACCACACCAAAAATTTAGAGCCCACGGCCGTTGATTTTCCACTTGCCGCAAGCACCTCGGATTTTCCGTAGCCCAGTAATGCATATTGTCGCGGTTAACTTGTTAAATTTCATCGAAAGAACCCCCCGCAACGTATGCGCCATTAAAAAGTAAACCGATTTTTTTTTTCTATTTCAATTAATATCCCATGATCCTTTAGTTTTGACACCATAGCATACCAGTACTTTGAGAAGTGCAACGTTCTTACATTCGACGTTATCAAGAATGCATCGACGTAAATGGCCAACATTTCGAACATTTGTTGTGAAATTTCATCGAAAAAACTCCCGGAGCGTATACGCCATTAAAAAGTAAACCGATTTTTTTTTCTATTTCAATTAATATCCCATGATCCTTTAGTTTTGAGACCATAGCATACCAATACTTTGAGACCTGGAATTGAATGCTCTTTTGATTTCCATAACAAAAAATACATCATCCCATTTGAAAAACCAAAGTTGACCCTCAAATGACCTTGATACTTTGATTTAGGAAAAAATTGAAAGACGCCATCTTGTGTCCCCCTCGAAGCCATGAAACTAATGTATCGAACATTTTTTTGTATCTCGCTTCGTTTGGGAGAAAATTGCTTGGGTCACTATAAACGCCTCACCCTGTAGATTATTACGTCTCGGCCCTGCTGGGGAAATCATTGGAGTAAGCTTATGAGTACATTTGTACACAATCAGGTACACGTAACAATTCATTCATATCCAGAATACTTATCTTATATAAAAACGGATCAAGAATACCCGTGTAAAGAAATAATCAGATCGTTCAGTTAAATTTCGATCTCGTTTCAGGATACCATATTAGACTCAGGGAACAATCCATACCAGGATACCAGGATACCATATTAGACTCAGAGAACAATCCTCCTCACATCGATTGGGAAGTCCCCTGGCACCTATTTCCTATTCCTTCCGATTCTTTATCTGCTGAAATAATTGACATTTCGCGTCGACATAGTAACGAAATTTATGCAATCAATAGAAACCGAGTGTTTTAACTTACCGAAATTAGATTTAAATCAAACAGCTCAGTCAGACAACGCACCCGTATTGTTGTAAAACTATATAATTGGCGTGCGGTAGCAAAAAATAAAATAGTCAAAGACAGGGCCGACATAACGCATGGACATACCGTTTAACACCGGCAAATCTGACCAACAAACCATCCTAATTATCTTTTCTAAATCAACATTTATTGAATCTTTATAATTCTCAATCGTTCTTTCTCGAATCAGATGTAAATCATAACCACATTCCGCGTATTTCAGGGAGAGATTATAACAATATATTGTGACTTATTTCGTGTTCAGCCAGCGAGTGGCCAGCCGAGTACAGTGCCTGAAATAAATGCCTCCGTAAATTAGAATAAGAGCTTACCCCCACCATGCACGAAACGCTCTCCTTATTCTCCTACTCTGCCTTTCACGAGTCTCGCATAATGTTGATGTTTGTCAACGACATCATAATATTATGATATCCATCAAGAGACTCGGTCGAGTCTCGCGCCAAGTACAGGCAACCGGCTGTACAGGGCACAGCTCGCCGAGACTCTTTACTTGAGTCAACTCTTATACCTGTGTTTGGAACGAAATATCTTATTAACCCCTATACATGAGAAAAAGTTATTGATATAGGAATTGAGGGTCCTGAATTGATTGCCACCACGTTTAATACCATTAATATAT